AACAAAGGGCATCGCTACTAGGAGCAAGAAGCTACTAGTAGCTCCCGGCCTTACTACTAGTAACAAGAAGCCACTAGCAACAAAGGGCATCGCTACTAGGAGCAAGAAGCTACTAGTAGCTCCCGGCCTTACTAGTAACAAGAAGCTACTAGGAAACAAGTGCATCGCTTCTAGTAACAAGTGCCTTACTAGTAGTAACAAGAAGCTATTAGGAACAACCGCGGGGTGAACTTCCCAACCCCGCAGGTCGCCTCAGCAGGTCGCAGTGCCTCGACGAAGCGCCGGGAAGACATGGAGGGCAAGGAGGGCACCAAGGCGTTGAGGAGCTCTACCTGGGACGGCAGATCCATCACAGAGGTGGGGGCCATACCGGAACCCGGTGTGAGGCAGGTGCCTGGGAAGATTCGTAGCCTTTCGTAAGCCTTTAAAGTGGGTAATCTTCACGACACATCCGTGCTTCTCTGTGCTTCTGGTTTCCTTCCTTCTCCTTCAAGGTCCATCCTTGCCGCCGCTTTGCCCGATCTGGCTGTTTCTAAAGTAGTTTCCCACAAAAACCTTGCATAGAAACTGATCAAAAAAGAACCCTGGTAGCACACGGTCATCTTCAACAGAACTTCTTGGCGATATGTTTTTCCCAGTTTGGGCCCTAAGACTACAGTGATGATGGCCATCAGCGGAGCTGAGGAACCACTTGGCCAGTACCATCTGGCGATGCCCTCGCTGGCATGCTTTTGATTGCTTTATTTTGATTGAGGAATCCCGGGATACTCTGAAGTTAGTATGAGCATGCGAGCATGTCCACAACCATTCCGATGTTGCAACACTTTCACATTCAACCTGCTTCCCCTTGGGCCCTGGCTAAATCATCTGGAGACTGTTCTGGGTAACCTCAGTCAAGAACATCAATTCCAAGCAAGGAAAGGTACTTGCGACAGTATATAGTATAGACCGTAGATTTTTCAGCACGTTGCAAGCTAGTAGGAACACGAGCAACTCACATCCCAGAATGAATTGGGTTCACGACGGGTCAGATCAGCCACACCATTTGGACCCTTGCTGTTGAGCGGTTTTAAGGACCGGATCTTGGCTGTTGATGTTACTAGGAAGGACGCTACGAACGGGGCTCCTGGCCTTACTACCAGGAGCAAGGACGCTACTAGGAACAAAGGGCATCGCTACTAGGAGCAAGGACGCTACTTAGCGATGGCCTCGACCTAGTAGCTTTTTGTTGCTAGTAGTAGTGGCCTCCAATCTACTTGTGATGGCCTCCACCCAACAGCGTCCTTGCTACTAGTAGCGATGCCCTTCTTCAGATCTCCAAATACGTACAGCGACCGACATCATCATGCAGCGACCGACGGTGGGGTGCAGCTCCATGTTGACCGACCCGTATGGGTTTTCCTGACCGAGTGCGCTTTGACCGACCGGCTTTCGTGCGCAAAAAGAAGCCCCGCCATCGACGTGCGAAACCCGACTGAAAGTCCCTGCGCCGATGAACGATGTGCGCCCTTTGTCATGGGACGCCACTGGCGACAAAAACGAAAGAGCATAAGGCACCACAAGAGGCAAAAAATCTCGGCTTTTGGATGCTTTTGGCAATCTCATAGGTTGGTGGTCAATGGTCACAAGAATGACTCCTTTATGATGACAATAAGGCTTCTTGTGTTGGGATGGCAGGAAACCAAGTTCTGGAGAGGATCAGCTATGGGGTGGTGAAAAGCTGTACAGTGAGGTCAAGCCAAAAAGCCGGGATTCTAGTGCAGTACCATTCCAGCATCCAATCCATTGGACTGCCGAAAATTGTGCCGGAGCAAGATGAAAAGACTGGCAGACTCAAGCACAGGCCCATGTTGATTGCGTAAACAGTCGTTTGTCTTGGTAGAGCTTCTATTGTCTTGTCCATCCTAGGATTCCCAAGTTGATCTGAGGCCGTGGTGAAACTTGTAGCGAATCTGGAGAGCTCAGATTATAAACAGTCCACAGTATTTCAGGGACTTCTCATTTCACTAATTGAAAAACTTCTCCGAGTAAGAAACGCTCTTGCTGTTCTTGCGCTGCAAGAACTGTCTCATGCTTTGGTCACTTCCAGATCTTGGACTTGACAAACCTCCACATCCTCTGCCTGGGAAGATTTTTCATGGGACAAAAGAGTTAGGCAGACAAGGCCTATGTCCTATGTGCACGAAATTGCCAAGCCTATGAAAGTTGAGCAACCAACTCTTCCACAGATCTCTGAGTTCCAAACCAACTCTTCTTTGATCCTTCAGATTCTTCCAACCTTCATGAACCTTCCTACTTCAATCCAAGTTCCGCCCATGCCGTCAACATCTCACATGCATCGAAAAAACTCTCCCAACAGCGAGGAGCAACCGGTCAGTCGAGCGGCGGAAGGCCCTGCGAGAAACCCGCCAGCAGAATGGCCACTCCACACCAGGCGGCTGCCATAGGGAGACGAAAACGACTCGAATAGGTTGCCCGAGCAGCGAAAAGACCACCTGCCAGGGCCAGGTTGGTGACCACAAAGATCAGGAAGTCCTGAGCGAAGTGATCTTTGAAGAGATCAGAGTGATGCTGAGTTGTGTTTTGTCTTGCCTTAACGACCAATCTGATGTGGGATGGTTTCCCCATGCGGCATGTGAATCTGATATATCAGTTGACAACAATTCCCCAGCAAAAATGACATGGAACTTCAGGGGGTTGCTGAATCATAGACAGTAATAGTAATGTTAACCATCCCAAAAACACATGGCATTTTCCGTCCAGTAGGGATAGTACCCTTCATGACTCTCCAAATGCCACAACTCAAGTGCAGTCCCCATGTCTATCCAACTGACCACTTCCCTTATCTTCCCTTGACCCTCCCAAGGGTAGAATGGGTCTGTTACATGTCCCATGCACGTTTGCTTGCTCTTATCTGCCCCCACGGCCCACATTGTCTTCTCCGAGCGTCCAAAGCAATCATGGCCCACTTGTTGAGTTTCGAGCAAAACGACACCAAGTCGCCTAGGTCGGAAAGAACGTTCCAAGGCGCCCCACCCACCGAACCAACATCGACTGCCCGATGTCGGTCGTCGGAAATGACATTTTTGGGACCTTCAAAAGAAATCATGTCTCCATTTGAAACAAGTAGAGCTGCCACAGGCCGTGAGTGTGGGTCAAACTGGCACAGATGGGTTGTCTTGTTCATTTACCCGTTTCACCCCACCAACTTAAGCCACATCATACCGCATCAATTTCCTTCCTTTGTGATGCGCACACTTACAGTATCTTACAGTACACAGTACACCCCAGAAAACACAGAAGACTCACACACGCCGCCAAAAAACACCGGCGGCACGTCGTTTTTGAGGTTTCACCTCAGCTTCCAGGAGTTGATCTAAAAATAAAGAACATACTCGATGATGCAGAGTCACATAGATACACCACCAAGCTCAAACAAGCAATTCGCCAGCAGAGTGCATACCCGATGACCATGGCCAAAAAATGAGCAATAATGAGATCTGAAGGTGCACCCCCCATCCACAGCGCTACGAAATTGTCCATGTTCAGGCTCACTTCCTGGGCGAGGAAGCTCTGCACCCATCCCTGCGTCACAGAGATCCTGAGATCCTTTTCCATCCCAAATGTGTGGCTGTCTTCCACTTGGATCAAATGAAGATTGGAGATGAACCTTCCGAAGCCCCCAAAAAGGAATCAGCCAGCTGTGTGAATGTAGAGGCAAAAGACTGATATGGACGAAAAAGGCACGGAATCCTGAAGGACTATCCTTACAAAACACAGGTTCAAAGGGTGTATGTTGGAGCCACCAGCCGCGAACAAAAGCACAAATGAACACATGAGCAACAACTTCAACAGGGGCGCAACCTCACGCAGGTGTGTCATGCCTTTTGGGGCATGAACTTGGCCGTTTCTAGCTGACATATGGCGCTATGACACCACATACTTTCACCAGCATGGCACCATCCAAGGCTCCGAAGTGATCACCAAAAGCTGATATTGGATTGGGATGGTATTGGCTGAGAAGCCGGACATCACCGCTTGGCCTAAACGGGATCGGACATATTCGGTGAAGGCCTCCTTGTTGCCAAACCACTCCTGGCGAGTTCGAGCGAGTTCGCTGGGTGGCCACCTGCAAAAGCACAAATTCTTGGAGGACAACGGAAGGAATGAAGATGAGCTGAGGGGGACCAAAAGCATCCAAAAGCCATCAAAAGCCAATGTATTGATGAACATCATGAACTCATGGGGGGAAAAACCCTGAGAAACCCAGTGCTGCTGGTGTCGTCTTGGGCTGGTGTCAGAAACCAGATCGATGGTTGACTTGATCGATGTCAAATTCTCGACCCAAGATCGACAGTGACACTGATGATCAGATCTGGCCAAGGCTCTGTAATCGCATTGAACACAAATTCTCTGTCCTGGGTGTGAAGATGTGGCGACGCAAATGGACCCATCTCGAATAACTGAGGTTTGAAAGGAGTTGTGGCCACACCCATCTCGAGGGGAGTCGACATCAAACACATATGCCACATACTTCAAGAACCCTAAAGTTTACGCTTCTTACTCTGTTCCAACATGAC